GAAAATTGATATTCATATTTCTGAATCAAGTAAATATGTTATAGAATAGAACTATCAGAAGTCTTCGATTTGATGAAATTGTTATATAAATACGATGAGATTAGAATACTTCATTTGAAGAAATGATTATTTATATTTTTGTATCAAGAAAATAACGTATTGCCTCAAAATATTAGGTTTTTGCAATTTGAGAAAACTGAATATATCATTCAATGAAATCGGCATTCTTTGATTCGAAGAAATGTATACTTATATTCTTGGATCAAGCAATAAATTCATTGAAACAAAATAGTACGCTTCTGCGAATTGAAAAAGCCGTTCTGATTGAGTTGAAGTAATCAATTTATTAACTGAAAAATTGCATTTTTGGTTTGAGAATTTATTTCAAAAATATGACACTATGAACTCTTGAACTCTTGAACATACCAGATTTTTTGACTCGAAAGAATGGGTGCGTATCGTTTCAGCCACATTTCTTCTTAGCCACATATCGTGTTAGCCACATTTCGTCTCAGCCACATCTCGTTTCAGCCACATTTCGTCTCAGCCACAGTGTCCGAATATACCCGAACGATGCGATGTTGCCAGATAAAAACCGATTCTCCCAATTTAGCAGAAATACACAATGCAGCTTCTTTTCGTTCCAGCCACATTTCGTCTTAGCCACATTTCGTCTCAGCCACATTTCGTCTCAGCCACATTTCGTGTCCATTTCGTTCCAGCCACATTTCATTTCAGCCACATTTCGTCTCAGTCATATTTCGTCTTAGCCACATTTCGTCTCAGCCACATCTCATTACAGCCACATCTCATCTCAGCCTCATTACGTGTTCATTTCGTCTGAGCCACATTTCGTCTTGGCCACATTTCGTCTCAGCCACATTTCGTCTCAGCCACATCTCGTGTCAGCCACATTCTGTCTCAGACACATTCCATTAATGAGACGTCAAATAAAAATGTTCAAAAGTGATGGAAATGAATGTCTTACAGAATTTGAAGGATTGAATAGTTATATTAGAGATAATTATTTTTTGAACCCGTTTATGTGGAACAAATTCGCTTCTCCAGCCTTATATGATACATTCTGAACGTAATGCGTGTTGCATAGTTTCGCCGTGTAATATCGTAATACAACAAGATACTTGCATCTAGCTACATGTAATGTGCATGAATGAGTGCAAGTAGGTAGGTTGGATAGGTAGGTAGGTAGGATATGTTGTTCTCCATTCCCCATGAATTTTTACCGCAAGCAAACTGACAGCGACGAAATCAATTCAATTGAATCATTGAAGATATCCGAGACCAAGGATACAATGACATACATCGAAAGTTGAGATAGGCACATGAAAACCGCTTTGGCCAATGATGAATAGTTTCGACACAATAAAATTCATAAGTTGAAAAATTTCTATTTTGAACACCCTATTTATCTGTAATCATGTCTGCTAGGCTCCAAGTGTGATGTATCGATGAAATCAGCCCTTCAGTGAGAATCTATAAATGCAATAATGTACAGGGTGTCTCATTGAAAAAACGGAGTTGATGTCACTTTCGGTTCAACCGAAAGTGAAGCTGATTAGAAAAATAGATCTCATCACGCAATGGCTGTAGGTAGGTACCGAAAATTCCAGATTGATGTCTCTTTTAGTTCTCTATGAACATCTCATGAATTTGTTAGTTGAATAACCCTGTATATCCAAATATGTTCAAAATCACATTATCCACCGCCTCCTTCCAGATATACGTCGGTGAACCGAATTGGGAAAAACTGGGAAAACAAAACAATGATCTCAAATGAAAATAAATTATCAGTTTCATATGCATCACTCTGAAGAGATAGAATCTGCAGATGAAATACCCACAGACTAAAATTAATGAAGGAGTTATTGAAGGAAAACATTAGAAAAAAGATTTTCCAAAAATATATTATGCAACCAACATTCTCCCAAGCATACTATGAGCATCATAATAACTGGCAACACCCTGTGGGATACCTAGAACAGAACAGTTAACTATAATAATAATAATAATAATAATAATAATAATAATAATAATAATAATAATAATAAGAAGAAAATCCCAGCGTGCCGTGATAAGGCACACATCCTGGCTGGAGGTATGCAGAAGGCCGTCATACTTGGATCATTGCGTCTACTCAGGGCACACGGTACTTGGTCCCAGTGATTACTCACCTCACAGGCTGTGAGGAGTAGTCACTGGATTTTATCCAGCACGACTCTGCGTGACGTCGGAGGCCGCAGGGTCGTGACTGGAATTACATGAACTTAAATGAATAATAATAATAATAATAATATGTCTTTATTCATATTGCCCGAATTACAAAATAATCAAAACCTCGATGGTACACAAAATTTATCAGACAATATGTAAGGGCGGAATTCAGTCACTCCTATCCGAACATAACTAGGAGCTTTGTTTTTATTTACAGTACAGTTTTGATTTCCTTATATTTGATATTCTCATTTTACAAATATTCTGAGGTTTGTTAACTAAAATTTGTCTATGGATTGAAATAAAGTTGACATTATTACTCCTTTTTAGTGAACCGGCATAGTATAATAATTGTGCATTTTGTGATACAAGCATGAAATTATTATCATCCTCAGTACATTATATGAACATGATTTCAGGATACTGGGGCCCTTCATAGTTCGCATGCGTGAGATTTGGGAGCGATTGGAACTTTCAGTGCTTATCGTGAAGTACCTACTAAATAAATTCATTTTTAACAAAACTATCAATTTCTGAACAAACTCCTGAAACACTTCGATTTCCATTTTGAATTTGCTACACTTATGAGAAAAAAAAATATTCAGGGTTATCCAAGTTTGAGTAATGACGTCCGTAACAACTGTTTCTAATGAAACACACTATATACATACATTTTTGGAATCTTCATGGAGAGTTTGATTCAAAAATATATCACACATAGGGTTTGTATACAGTGCGTCTGTCAAATTCAGTAGTGGATGTATATGATAACGTCATTTTGCCTACACGAATCAGTCTGTATGTATCATTTGAATTTGAGGTGTGATATATTTTTGAATTCAGCTCCCCATGAAAATTCAAAAACTTGAATAATAGATAGGGTGTTTTATTTGAGAATATTGTCTTAAATATTCAAATGAGGAGCACCCTGTGTATTTAATTTTGCCTTCTGAATGTGGTGAATTGAGATTAAAAATCAACACGTTCAGGAAATTTCTCAGAATTGCATCGTTCAGCTGAAAATTAATTCATTCAGCAGTTACGATAGCACTGACGTATTTTCTTGAACAATTTCATACTCGTGCATATTTTTGAGCATTAGAACATCGACGTTTTCGACAATTTATTTATTTTATTCCGTGGAGCACACGAAAGGGTTTCCGTAATATATTCGAAGAACATCGTGCGTACCCAGGGAGGATAGGAAAAAAAGCTTTGAGTATTTGATTTTTTTTAACTCTCGGAGATTATTAGTTCTTGGGAAAACTATCTTTGGCGAATAGAAAAATTTCGAAGCTTCGCCGTTCTACAGTCTCACTTCTAATTGAAACACCCCTGTATCTTTCGTAATTGTTGAGTTAGGATTCTAAAACTTGCAGGAGCAGAAGATATACTTAAAATACGTGATTATCAAGGTATAGGTTTCTGAAATTCGCAGGAGAAATAGGGGGTCACTCACGTGAGATACGGGGGTACTTCCATAAAAAGTAAGGCAAAATTCAATTTCTCAGAACTGAGAATATTTCCCAGAGAAAGTATGGATATCAGTGAATTGGGCGTCCTGATTTCGAATCCAAATAGTGATCTTCAACCTATCTTGCCTCCTAAAATCATTTTACGGAAATGTGGGTGGTTCCATGGCTGTTGGCTAGCAGCGTATATCACTGAAGATGACTCCACATGGTTATAGTTTGTTTTTTTTTAGTATATATCTTCCGCTCCTGCAAATTTCAGAATCCTAACTCAACAATAACGATAGATACAGGGGTGTTTCCGTTAGAGGTAAGACATACCGTATATACAAACAAGTTTTGGTGAAGAGTTGTTCGACATATTGCGAGATTGACGACGAGGATATGCTGAATAGGCTCGTTATTTAATTGTTAAAATTATCAATTCTTTCATCAATTACTAGAAAAGCCCATTTCTCAATATCTACTATACTCGGTGTTATTTATGGTAGTAACATGGATCTTCTCCCGGTGTGATTAAGTGCAAAATAATGATTCCCGTGGCGTCTTTGTGAGTTTTATATTCTTATCAGATTGAACAATTAAAAATACAACTATCTTGTTTCATGTGTTACTTTTGTATCTCGATTTGTTTCTGAGGAAACAATAAAAATTCCTTTTGACTCTAAATCTCAATGAAGGTGCTCTCAACACACCCATTATTGAGATTACCCAATAACATCAATAAGTACCTACCTATTATTCTGAAATTCTGAGATTTCGTTAGTCACCAACCAAACAGAATTTTGGCACCATAAGGAGAATATGTCATAAAAACCAATTGATAATTTCAATTTCAGCATCTTGTACTAATATATCAGAAACGATGCAAGTTAGGACATATGTTTGCATGAACTTTATTTCCTAAAATATGATAAGCAATCACCTCCAAATTTTTTTGCACTTATTCATTTACACCAATCACACCCTGTATCATAGTTTCTCCACTACTAAGTAGCACATATTTTCCAAATATAATAGTTGTTGGAGATATAGTAACGCTTGAACACTTGTTATTCGTAGGAATTTGAGTATATATACTATACTATACTATACAGTGGAAGAAGTCAGCTAGGCTACTCAATAAAGTCCACATTGATTTACTGCAAATTGGCTTCCAATAACAAGTGTTCAAGCGTTACTATATCTCCAACAAATTCTCAAATTCGACTCGGTCTAAAGATGGGTCCATCAACAATTGGAAGAACCAAGAAAGACCATTGTCTAGTATGCAACAGACCATATCGCGAAGAACGAATGGTCGAATGCACAAAATGTATTAAATGGTACTGTTTTGAGTGTGTCAACGTAACAGAAGCTGTAGCTCTAGATGAATATTGGATGTGTCCATCCTGTGAAGCCATTCATCAAGAAACCATGGCGCAGCAATCTGATATTCAATTTACACCTCACCAGTCTTTGAATCAGTTAGGAGTCATTCCAACATCATTAGAACCAAATAAATCACTCACTATCACTATAGCACAAAGCCTAAAAAGCAAACATAGTGGATCAACCACAAGCAGCAGGCGCAAGTTGAAATTGCAAATTTTACAAGAAGAAATAGCGCTAATAAGAAAAGAAAGAGAATTAGCTGAGCAGACACGAAAACTTCTTGATGAAGAATCTGATGACAGCCAGTGTTTGGATAAAGAGTATTTGGAAAGATCTGAGCCATTAGCAAATAGACTATTGTCACTACAGATAGAAAATGGTGTTCAATAATCTAGCAATGGAGTTCTACCTAATATCCTCAACGGAAATGGGAAGATTCTAGAAAAAGAATCAGAAATGCAACGAAAACAGGACATACAGAAACCGATTCGAGCATTCAACCCACGCAACTTTCGAAACATTGGAACAATCTTCGATTACTCCACAGCAGTGTGCCGCGCGACGTACTACTCCAAAAGAACTACCAACTTTCAGTGGGAATTCGTATGATTGGCCCTTATTCATCAGCTGTTACGAGAGGTCCACTCAATTATGTGGCTTCGACAATAATGAAAACTTGATAAGGTTACAACAATGTCTCAAGGGGACTGCTGAATCCGTTGTATCCAGTTTTCTCACAATGCCTGAATGTGTGCCACAAATCATATCCACTTTGAAAATGCTCTTTGGTAGGCCAGACCAAATTTTGGAAGCACATATCAATGCAATTCGTCGCCAACCGCCTCCAAAACCAGAAAAACTCGAAACTCTTGTTGAATTTGCAATTGCAGTGAAAAATTTATGCGTTTCTCTACAAGCTGCCAAACTGACAGAATATTTAAACAATCCAATGTTAATACACGAACTCGTAGATAAACTGCCATCGCAAATAAAAGTAAACTGGGCTTTATATCGGTCTACCTTACAATCATCTACTGGGTTGGAGGATTTCGATGAATGGATGTTCAACTTAGCGACAAATATAAGTACTGCTCTACCTACCTTAATAATAACCGGACGCAATAAGCAATACTCTGAGAATGAACATCTCAATGTTCACAATACTGGCTCTGGAATGAATTTGCAGTCATCAGGTGAGCAAACGAAGTGCAAAGTATGCAGAAAGGATTGCAAGGTTGTGGCAGAATGCAGAGTTTTCCAAAGATATCCGATATCAGATAAATGGAAGACAATAAAAGATTTGAAGCTGTGCAGATTATGCTTGAAAAGACATCGGTATCCATTCAGATATCCAGTAAAATGTGAGAAGAATCAATGCGAACGAAAACATCACCCACTCCTCCATAAAGATGATGATCCTGCACCTGGACTTGTAGTGCCCACTTCATGTTCAGATGATTCTATCAGTTCAGCAGTCAATGTATACCATCAATCTTCTGCACAGGGCGTCCGCTTTCGCATATTGCCAGTTATACTAAGAAACGGAGATAAAAAAGTCGTAACATATGCATTCCTAGACGAAGGATCATCAATCACTTTGTTGGATGAAAGTTTATCCGAAGAACTGGGCTTACAAGGAGATTATGAACCATTGTGCCTAAAATGGACCGGTAAGCAACAGCGACTAGAAAACAAGTCACAAAAGGTTGTACTTTCAATTGTTGGAAACTTCCAAGGTGCTAAACGGTTCGACTATCGTCCTGCCCGTACAGTTAGCTCATTGAATCTTCCGCAACAAACTGTTGATGCATCTAAACTCGCTGCTGAGTATGTGCATTTGAAAAATTTACCTATTGCTTCATATAGGAATGCAAATCCACGAATTCTCATTGGGTTAGACAACTGGAAATTAGCTTTACCACTTCGAGTCGTTGAAGGAGAGGAAGGTCAACCAATTGCGGCAAAATCTAGATTAGGATGGTCAGTATTTGCACTTCAGTCATCATCTCTGCAAAACCGTGAACTAACCTGCAATAATTATCATGTATGTGAATGTGTCGACACTATGATGAGCAATCAAGAACTCCATGAAGCAGTGAAGACTTTTTTCTCAGTGGAAAGCCTCGGAGTCAGAGCATCGAATGTTTCGTCAGAAGAACTCAGGAGAGCAGATAACATTATGCAGTCTACAATAACCAAAAACGGAAATTGCTATAGCACTGGTTTGCTCTGGAAATATGATACTTTGGAGTTACCTGATAGCCGCAACATGGCCCTCCAGAGATTAGAATGTATTGAAAAACGAGTGAGATGTAACCCAGAGTTGGGTATGAAGATCAACTCACAAATGAAGGACTTCATCGAAAAGGGGTATATAAGGAAACTCACACCTGAAGAACTTTTACAACAATACGAAAGAATCTGGTATCTTCCAATATTTCCTGTATCAAATCCGAATAAGCCAGGAAAATTCAGAATTGTTTGGGATGCAGCAGCTGTAGTACAAGGGATTTCACTGAACTTGCTGCTTTTGGAGGGTGATGATCAACTTGCTTCCCTACTCGGAATACTTCTTCGATTTCGTGAAAGAAGAATTGGATTCAGCGCAGACATCAAGGAAATGTTTCTGCGAGTTGGAATCAGAGATGTAGATCAGCAAGCGCGAAGATTTTATTGGCGAGATGGTAATCCTGAAAATGCATTGGATACATATGTCATGAGAGTGATGACTTTTGGCGCAACATGCTCACCAAGTTGCGCTCAATATGTGAAGAACACAAATGCAAGAGCAATTTCTTCACTGTATCCAAGGGCTGTAGAATCTATTTTGAAGAATCATTATGTAGATGATCTACTAGATGCTGCAGATAGTGAAATGGAAGCCATCCAAATTGCTAAGCAAGTTGTCCTGATTCATTCAGAAGCCAACTTCGAAATAAGAAATTGGCGTTCGAATTCGAATAAACTCATGCAGACGATGAACGGTTCTACGCGATATCCTGAAGAGATCAACATGAATATGGGTAATTAAGAAAATACAGAGAAGATTCTTGGTATGTGGTGGAATTTAACAACAGACTGTCTGATATATTCATTGAAATACAATAAGGGTAACAGAGATGTCCTAGAAGGTAGAAGAAAACCAACAAAACGCGAGATACTACGCATACTGATGTCGATATATGATCCCTTAGGGCTCTTGTCACATTTCCTGGTGTATTTGAAAATTCTTCTCCAAGATATCTGGAGAAGTAGAGTAACTTGGGATGAACCAGTATCAAATGAACAATTTGAAAAATGGCTCTCATGGCTCAAACATCTACCAGATTTAGAAAAACTTTCAATTCCAAGATGTTATTTGGTGAATTTTTCAAATTGGGAGAATTCCAATGTACAGCTCCACATATTTGTGGATGCTAGCGAGAATGCCAGTGCCGTAGCTGCATACCTTAGGACTGTCAAAGAAAATGAGTCTGTAGAATGTGTCCTTATTGGCGCTATAACACATGTAGCACCTATAAAGCTTCAGACAATGCCTCGTCTTGAATTGGTTGGCTCATTACTGGGTGCTAGATTTTCAAAAAATATCAGACGACATATGTCAATACCAATTCATGACACCATTTACTGGTCAGACTCCAAAATAGTTTTGAATCGGATACGTTCAGATGATCCAAGGAAGTTGTGCAAGTATGTCGCCTATAGAGTAGCCGAAATACACGATAATACTATGGTATCCAATTGGCGTTATGTTCCTACAAAACTCAATGTCGCTGATGAAGCGACAAAATGGACCAAACAACCATCATTAAAGGCAACTGACCGATGGTTCAGAGGACCAGACTTTTTATACGAGAACGATGAACTATGGCCAACTGAAGATCCAACTGAAACACGGCCTCTGGAAGCGATTGTGAATATTCATGTGAAAAATGAACTCATACAAATTGAAAAATTTAGCCGATACACAAAATTATTACGCACAATGGGCTTTGTGTTAAAATTTTTACAACATACTCGTGAAAACACTTTGTGCCAACCAAGGTCCATGGGTGTATTATCATCAGAAGAATTGAAGCTTGCTGAAAATTTTCTAATTCGAATGGTACAAAGAGAGTTCTATTCAGAAGAAATCAAAAAACTGATTGTTCTACATCGATACATCCTACAGTGAGTCAAACAAGCAGCATCTATAAATTATCACCGTATGTGGACCAGGACGGAATACTTCGCATTCGAGGAAGAATAGATGGTGCTGAATGTATTGAAGCAGATACTAAAAGACCAACCATACTACCCCGAGATAGTCATCTGACCTTACTGATTGTCGAAAGTTACCACCTTACCTTTCAACATCGCAATCATGAAAGTGTTGTTAATGAAATCAGACAAAAATACTTTGTTCCTAAATTACGAAGAACTCTGAACAAGATCCGAAGAAATTGTCCGATTTGTAAAATCAGACTTGCTTCTCCTAACGTCCCAGAAATGTCGCCGCTTCCTGAATGTCGACTTGCCACATTTACAACTCCATTTACTCATACTGGGGTGGACTAACACAAACAGGTACCTTCTTTAGAAAAATAAAATATCGTAATAATATGCGATAAAGACCTACCCCGTTGCAATTGGCCCAAAGGCAGGATTATAGAAGTTACAAGAGCGCGTGATGGACAAGTAAGAAGAGCTAAGGTACAAACAGTTACCGGAATCCTTAAAAGACCCGTAGCAAAACTTGCTGTATTGTCGGTGGACAAACCTGAGAATGGTACAGAACTTGCTCCTGACAGTGCTGTGCCGGGCGGGAGTGTTAGAAATAACTATTGACACTATTTAGTTTACTCGTTATTATAATTCATTTTCCAAATCTTGTTGAAATTCGAATCGATCACTCAGTACCAAGTAGATGATAGACATTGTCAACAAGATTTGGAAAATGAATTATAATAACGAGTAAACTAAATAGTGTCAATAGTTATTTCTAACAATAGTTCTTCTTATAAGGATAAGGTGACTGTATATTTTATTATGTATCAGTGGTTCGATCAGTGAAATAAACCTCCTTAGAGATGGAATGTAAACCCAATGAACACACACACACGTGTGATAAACGTTACTCGTTGAATTTCGCAACGTTACTTTCGTAACGTGAATTCAACCGAACGTTGATTCAACTCAATAATAAACGATGATGATTCAACTCGTCTATATAGCCACCATTATGCAACGTGTCGTTATCGTGATTCCTCAACGTATATTCAATGCGGTCCATAGAACATCACAATAACGTCCAGTATGATATCGATCAACAACCTGAATCTTTAAGCAACCTCTTTTTTACGTTTCAAATACGTACTTTTTTTACGTTTATTCAACGTTTCAAAATGACGTATGAAGTGTGAATCAATTATTTAATAACAACTATATTTTCAAGCAATCAATATTTCATGTTTCAATTACTACTCTGTTTTACGTTCATTAAACGTTTTGAGATTACGTGTATGACCCGTTGAATAATTTTCCAATAGCAACTATATCTTTGAGCAACCTTTATTCCCCGTTTCAATCACTACTTTCTTCGCGTTAATTGAACGTTATGAAATCACGTGAATGATCCGTTCGATGAATTATTCAATAAAAACTTCATCTTTGAACAACCTATAATGTTCCAGTTTTGAATTAACAGATACTTTTTTACGTTCATTGAACATTTTGAAATTACGTGTATGATACGTTGAATGAATTATTCAATAGTAACTATATCTTTGAGAAACCGTTATTCCACGTTTCATCCACTTTTCTCTTCATGTTCATTAAACGTTATGAAATTACGTGTACGATCCGTTGAGTGGATTATTGAATAACAAATATATCTTAGAGCAACCTTGATACCCCGTTTCAATTACAACTTTCTTAACGTTTATTGAACGTTCTGAAAATAAGTGTTCGTTCCGTTGGATGAATTATTCAAAAGTATTCGTATTGAATGAACCTGACCTATCGGCAGTCCGCCACCGCCACTTGCCAGTATGCTCACAGTTTGTCTGACGCCATCACGGTTAACACTAACTTCATTGTGATTCTTCAGAGGTTATGTGTGGATGTGAAGAGATGAGATTGGTAAGTACCCACTTTATTATTGAATTCTACCTGTGTATTGTGCAAATTTAGAATATTTCCAATGACGATTGCAGAGATGCTCAATTTACAGCAAAATGAGTACCTTCACCTACTAAAAACTAAACCTACTTATTCAATTCTGTCACGTCGGAAGGTTCACAAACTCTCAAAATAATATACGGTAGGTACTTAGTCCAAATTGCACAAATTTATATTATGTAGTTATTATTATATTCCATATTCATAAATTCTCGGTCAAGAAAAATAACATTATTGGAGTCTCTAATAACGGTGATAAAACGTGTATAGAAGGTAAATCAAACACATATTGAATGTGCTGATGAAATAAAGGTTGGAAAATGGTTGAAAAACGGTACTCAATATTCTGTAACATTGATATGAATGATGAGAATAGACTGATATACATACAGACATTCGATAAAAAAATATTATTGATTTGCCAGAATTTGTTTCGACCACAAATGAGCCGAAATTTCAGATCACAAAATTGAAGTCAATTGCTAGCAATTCTCCAGGGGGAACACACATG